TGCCACCGACTGTCACTACTTGCAATGTATCATGGTGTGGGAGTAGGTTGGAAGAATGCTAGGGGTGGCCAAACCAAAACGTGGCATAAATCCATGAAGTCACTGACAAGTGAACTGAACCATGTTGGTAGGTGTAGACTACCTGATTGGGATTGGCGAGATGACAACAATCGATGGTTAGAGACCTTGAATGACTTGGCTCAAAATCGTTTGCAATGGCGAGGGTGCATCCATTCTTTGTGTTCTGCCAAATTCTAATCTTCTGAATTCTTTATGACCCTTTCCTTTTTCTCTTCCCAAATATATTTCAGTGTATTATAATCCTTGAATAACATCTTCAAACCCTAATCTTTCCGATTACTGCTTATACTCTTACTACTTCTACTACTATGGGATTCAAATCGACAACTGCATCTATGTTCTAATGTGGTATAGCAACTCGAACTGATGTACGTACGTATGAAATTCTACGTTGTGACTGACTGACTGACTATGAGTTATTAATAGAAAAGATTCATATTTATTTTTCTTTTATATACATATTTTGTTTTAATTCAGACATATTATGCTTGAAAGAGTACACTAGGGAAACCTGTTTTCATTAGTAACAATTGAATATATATATATGGATATTGATTTCTTTTCATTTGAAACTTCGAATTAGGATCTACTGATAGGAGGGTTCTATGAATATGACCAAGATAGAAAGTAGAAACTTCATATATGTATAAATGCATCGAATAAGGCAGTTTTTCTCAACACCATAAAGTACTTTTTTAAGCCTTATTACTTCTATTCTATAAGAGAAGAATAATTGAAATCCTATGCATATCTTATAATTCTGTAATGAAATTAATATATGCATAAATATTTATTAAAAATATAATGAATTCGTCTGTAATTTCCATTTCATAAACGAACAGGTAGATTGAATTCATTTATTCATGGCACCATATGAATCTTCTGTATAAGATATTGATTTCATTGACAATGACTTGGTAAATGTCTTGTAATATCCAAAGGCTAAATATAATGTTTAGAATGGAGAGAGTAATTTTTAAAATTGTATCATTGACTGACTTAAGATATCATTTTAAACTAGAGAACATTAGTTGTCTTATTTAATTCCTTACGTCCGTTACTCCTAATGGAGCATAGACCGACGAGTAGCATTCTCCAACACACTCTGTCCTGAGCCTTCCTTTCTAGTTCTATCCAATTTTTGTTCATTTTCCTCATGTCTGTCTCCATCCCTCGGCGTAATGTGTTCTTTGATCTTCCACTTCTTCTTTGACCTTTAGGACCCCATGTAAGGGCTTGCACTGTGACGCGGTTGGGTGATTTCCTTAATGTGTGTCCTATCCACTTCCAGCTTTTCTTCTTGATTTCTTCTTTCACTGAAATCTGGTTTGTTCCCTCCCACAGTAGGTTGTCGTCTAGCTTAAGTTATTTCCAGATACAAATTATCGCAAAAAAGATTGATCTCCAGAGAATCGCCTATGGTAGAAATGATAACTATGTGAACCACTTGATCCAAATTTCATAGTTTTAAAATAGTTTGACAACAGCTGGTACTGAAGTTCTTAGATCTAATCACAGGTACTGTCATGTGTTATTCACTGCTGAGCATTTTGACAGTATTATTAAACTAGGGTCTTAAGTATTCAATTGATATATAGTTAAATCCAGTAAAATATATTCACATTATATTTACTTATTTACTTGCTCCTATTACCTCTCATGGAAGAGCATAGGCCGCCCACCAGCATTCTCCACCAAATTATGTTTTGGTCAATCATTCCCAAATGCCTCTAGTTGCTATTCATCCCTTTCATATCTGCTTCCATTTCCTGATATAGAGTTGATTTCGGCCTTCCTCTTTTCCGCTTCCCTTCAGGATTCCAAATACCAGAAAACGTTGTTTCTTTAAATGAATTAATTCACAAAACATTATAAGATCATTTGTTAATTATGCAAACGGTAATTTTGATTTGATTTACGTTGATTTTATATAAGGAATATTGATCGTTTAAGTAATGTTGGTTTATGATCTCGATAATATTTTAAAATCTCCACGACCCAATGAATAAAATAATGTCAAATTACCGTTTAGTGTTATATATGTATATAAGTATTAATGTATCTCTGACTTTTCAGTGAATAGTTACATCTCATATGTAGCCATCTGATAGAAGAGGATTAGAATATGAAATCACTTAGGTTGATATTTCTTGTTCAGGGTGACATGTGTGAATTTCGTTTACTCTGAGGTTAGCATACCAATATTTTCTTGGATCAATTCAGTATTGAACTTATACAATATGACAAATGTGGACTCTCATTCAGTATGGTAACTATTTAGAATAATATTCGTTTAGATTAGTTTCATTTTTCGTATGATTTTTATTAAGTATGATATTCTTTATAATGAGTTAACGTATGTTAAGTCTAGATTGGTATGCAGTATTTGATATTGTTATGATTCTCGTCAGTTTTTATACATGCGACTTTTTAAATAATAATTAAATAAGTGTACAAATCAGTTTATAAATGAGTGTTTCGGAGTGAATAATTATCAACTTATACCAGTCTTTTATGTTGTTGCTTCGCATCATGACACCTGTAATAGGACCTCGTTTTCAACCATAAGTGATTAGACAATGTGGATATAACACTACTAATCAGTCACACTGTATTACCATGCATTGATGATCTTCACACCATTTTATTAGTACAAATGTACAAATCATCATAATTCAACAATAACCTCTTTTTGCAACACTTATAATGAACCCATTGGTATGTTTACTTGATATACACACAGTGACCCTTACTAAGAATGTTATTGAGCAAACTTTTTTCAAAAATCTTCTCATTTTTACTTTTTGAAGGGTTCGAAAAGCGGATAAAGAAACACTCATAAAAATATATCTTACTTAAAGTCCTTCATATTTCCACTTAGTTTACATTTGCATCCATTTGTTGAAGTATTCACATGTTTACTGGTGTACAGTTTTAATCAATGTAACATAAGTGTACATGTACATTTCTGAATGAAATATTATTTTTTTTTAAATATCGAACTATATAACTGAGAATCGTCCACTTACATTAATAAAACCCAGTTAAGAAGACCGATAACTCATATTATACGACGATTTCTAAAATATAAAAGAAAATTTGAAGTAAATGGATGATAAATGGTATTGACAGTAAACTTAGTTAATGAAATGTATCATCTCAATCAACACTTATATGATGCTTACCAATGTATAATTTCAATCTTATCTTCAAATCAATAAAATGTCCACTTTAAGAAAATTATTTAACGTTTGTTCACTCAAACTGTATTAAAAAAAATATCATTTCATAATTGATACTGTGATGTAGGCTACTTATATCCACATAAGTAGTATGTGTCGATGATCGGTCATTGAGTATATTTCAATAGAGGATCGATGATGAAAGAACGGAAACGGAATATAATTGGTATAAAAATGCATGAACAATGATATCAGAGAAAATGGACAGATATTTGCACAAGATTCAGACAATTGATTGATAGTTTGCAAATTAACTATTTACTATATGGTTCTCATATTTTAATGAGATATTCTGCAAATTTGCTGGCTTAATACATTCGATTGTTCCCATTCATGTTCCTGTACATTACAGTATAACTAATTTACTTATCAAGATTTTATTTCATATTTGAAAACAATATCTTCTTGAAAATTAATATAACTTAAAGAGATAGTAATAAAATAATTAGTATCTTTTGGAATGCGGTAAATTTCTGAAATGATTATTTATGCAATCAAAAACTATGATTAATTGAATAAAAGAATAAATAGACTGTATCTAGCAATTGTACTTATCCAGACCTCGTAGCTGATTGGATAGTGTATTCTATGTTTGTTACAAGTTAGACTGAGCTTGAATACATATGTAAAAACCAACACTATGATCCAGGTACATACATTTATCAAGTCCTAAATCAGATGAATCCAATGTCCCCAATTACAATATTAGTAACAATTCACCTATCCTATAAAATCTGTGATAAAAGGCCAATTGAAGTTTAGCCAATAATATCTATATTAAGGAAGCTCAAATTCATGCAAATTGAATAAATAATATATTGTAATAATATATTAATGCCTCTGCATCAACTCAGTCGCACAGGGTGGAGAAACTCTGGAAGATGTGGAAACATTCACGTACCTGGGAAGTATCATCGATGAACAAGGGGGATCTGATGCAGATGTAAAGGCGAGGATTGGCAATGCAAGGGAAGCATTCCAACAATCGAAGAACATATGGAACTCAAAACAACTCTCAACAAATTTCAAAGTCAGAATCTTCAATACGAACGTCAAGACAGCCCTACTGTATGGAGCTGAAACGTGGAGAACTACTACATCCATCGTCAAGAAGGTACAAATATTTATAAACAGTTGTCTACGCAAAATACTCAACATCCATTGGCCGGATACTATCAGCAACAGCGTTTTATGGGAGAGGACAAACCAGATTCTAGCTGAAGAGGAAATTAGGAAAAAACGTTTGAAGTGGATAAGACACACACTGAGGAAATCGTCAAACTGCATCATGTGGCAAGCCCTAACTTGGAATCCTGAAGGGAAATGGAGAAGATGAAGACCAAAGAACACATTACTTTGGGAAATAGAAGCAGATATGAAGAGAATGAATAAAAACTGATAGGAACTGGAAAGGATTGCCCAGGACAGGGTTAGGCGGCCTATTCTCCTCAACAACGGGTAACAGTCATAAGTAAGTAAGTAAGCTTCACATTAAAATAAATCCTTTTCTCATTATTTTTTTGATAAAAGTTCTTAGTCAAAAGTAGGACTAAATAATTGTTCATCTATTCTCATTAACTTACAATATCAAATATATAGATACATGATTGTGAAATTAATTTCCCTTTCTTTTTAATTTTTCCGCATTTTTTTTTCTTTTTTTTTTCAAAACTAAAGATTTTAGCTATAGATATTGATGCCGGAGAAAATGGTACAATTCTTTATTTTATTCATTCTGGTAATGATTATCACTATTTCAAATTAAATCCAAAAAATGGTATATTAAGTATTAATAAAAAGATTCCATATACTGGAATAGGTGAATATCTACTAACATTAGAAGCAAGAGATTGTGGTCAACCCTATCGTTTTACATTAACTGAATTCATCATAGAAATTGATCAATCACCATCTAAAGCATATCTTACAACTAATATATATCAATTACATAACTCGAATGAAATAATGAATTATGGGGCTAGTGGTAATACATTAAATTTATATATTATTATAGCAATCATTACAGGAGCTTGTATTATATCAATTATATTATTATTTTTAGTTTTTTTATTTTTACAACGTACTAAACGTAATCATAATAATAGATGTAATTCAATAGAAAATACACTAAGAAAATATGATGTAATCAATATGAAAGAATTACAATCAAATTTTACAACACAATCACAACATTATAATGGGAATAAATATTCAGATTATGAAGGTAAGTGTTAGAATTGATCAATTTGATAGTGATTTTAGTTATCAAGTTATATTACTTACTTACTGGAGCCTGTTATTCCCAATGGAGCATAGGCCGCCGACCATCATTCTCCAACCCACTCTGTCCTCCCCCTTCCTTTTTAGTTCTATCCAGTTTTTGTTCAGTCTTCTCATATAGGCCTCTATTTCTCGGCGTGAGGTGGTCTTTGGTCTTCCTGTTCTCTTATGGCCTTCGGGATTCCATGTAAGGGCTTGTCTTGCAACACAATTGGGTGATTTCCTCAAAGTGTGCCCAATCCACTTCAAGGACTTCTTCCTGATTTCTTCCTCCGCTGGAATCTGATTTGTTGTCTCCCAGAGTAGGTTGTTACTGATAGTGTCTGACCAAAGGATCCGAAGTATTTTGCATAGACAACTGTTAATATACGCCTGTATCTTCCAGATGATGGCTTTGGTAGTTCTCCACGTCTCCGCTCTATACAATAGAACTGTCTTGACATCTGTGTTGGAAATTCTGATCTTGGTGTTGGTTGACAATTGCTTTGAATCCCAGATGTTCTTCATTTGTAAATATGCTGCTTTCGCTTTGCCGATCCGCGCATTCACATCTGCAGCATATCCACTGTGTTGATCGACGATGCTGCCCAGATATGTAAAGGTGAATTGGTTAAATTTAGACATTAACACCGTTGGATGCCGACTAGCTCAGTGGTCTACTGGTTAAGCGCTCGCGCGCAAAACTGATAAGTCATGGGTTTGAATCTTGCGGGGTGGGATCATGGATACGCACTGCTGAGGAGTCACACAATAGGACGAAGCGACCGTCCAGTGATCCCAGGTTTTCCATGTTGGTCTAGCTTCAATTGACTAATGATCTCAACTATCAAAATATGTGTAAGTATAACTCATTGATACTAAAGATGAAACAAATGCAGGATCTATTCACGCCCAGTGATCATTATTATGATCAATAGTTAAAATGTATCAAGGACATTTAACATGCCGTAAATAAGTTTAGTGAACAGTTGAAAAATACGTGAGTATGTTTCGTGAACATTATCTTGTCTAACAATAACTTGCCTCCATATATTTGCTTTTATGGAAGCTATTAACTATTAGTCGGAGAAACGATCTGTTTGTCGGATTGAATGTATTAAATTGATTCAGTCATATTATCATTTTAAATCTTATTTATTTTATCAATAATCCATTAGATAAAAAGGTTTTTCAGGTACGTTACGTTACCGTTCACTTCAAATGCCATCACTTTGTCTACTTAGCTACTGAGTTCAGAAAGCTACTAGATTGTACAATGGGGTGAAGTTTGATTCATTAATGTATTGGTTGTTTGAATTTTTCCATTGACGCTTAGGACTGTAAACGATCAGTCACTTACTGGCATATGTGAATTCTGTTAGGATTGCCTCGATATTGCCTGAAGTCACAAGCATTATATTTGCCAATTACCTCGACACAGACATCCAGATTAAAAGTGACAAACAGAATGAAACGTGCGTTCAGGATTACACTGCTAGCCACCGTCCATCTTTGCTCATAACGCTAGTGACATAAAATAATATACGGGCAATCCGCACATACGCTAATAAGAGGCTGATCAATTGTAGTCTTAAACATCGATGAGAAAACTCAAACAACCAATGCAAAATTTAATAGTATAATCTAGTTGGAAGTTGCTATGATCAAACACCAGTAAAGAATAGTGAGCCTGTAAATAAATTTAATAAGCTAAATAAAATATTGTAAATGTAAAAACTAATGTGAAGAACATTCTATGACATTGATAACAACAAAAGTCCAGAGAGCCATAAACAAGTGTTTTTGTATTGAATAAACACTGATAATAAGTAGGAATAAAATGAGTGAAACTCGGTTAGTTAAAATGAGAAACGTTTTGATGCAATTAATTGAAAGAAAGAGTTGAATACAGTTTTATGACATAGTGAAGGAATATTTACCCTCAAGATGTAAACGAGGTCAGCAATTATTGACTTATGAATGCATAAATCAGGCTCTTGACGCATGATAGCAAGGACTTCAGCAAACGTCGCAAGACTGGAGCATAGTTGTTTATTAAACAGCTTAAAAGATTGAAAGGTATCGATTTGATGTCCCTGTATCCATATGTTTAGTAATAGTGCTGTTTAAAGCAGTTCTTTCTGTCGTTGGTAAGCTTTTGTAATATGTTCAACTGTTCAACTAGTGTAACTGCTTTGGGAGGTACATGTTGGTTCATAAACATAGTTGATGCTTATGTGAAAGTATATGATTCATGGTGAACTCATTTCAATTTAGCTTTAGATGGATAGTTAGTTTTAACAAAAATCACCAGTTTTTGAAAATATTATTGTCAGAGTTACCATTGAACCTACTGTCTCACCAGCTACTCTGATTTGTACTTTTTCAATGGAATTTTCAGAATCGGAATCATCAAGGATTATAAGTCCCAACCAATTACATGCAAAAACATAGAAATATGGTAAAATGTTATCTGTGTCTTTGATCCGCATACTATGATATATGCTTTGATGTTTATAGATGTATTTTGTTCACATGGTAATTCACTGATTATTGTACGCTAAAGATAATGATTTTGTTCAGTGGTTGTAATCATGGATACTAATTTTAAAAAATGTCCTGAAATCCTTCAGTTTCCAAATATATTACCTAATCGAAAAATTCGTATGGTCGGGTTGAATAATAAGCGTTTTAATGAGTTAACTGTGACAAAAGAATTATTTGCTTTTGCTGGTTTAGTCATGCAACCTTTATAAGTTCCGGAAATAAATTTGTGTTCACATCTTATTTTGTTGCGTGAGTCATCTAGAAAGTTTTACCTGGTTTCGTCCATTTAATGTGTGGATTCATTATGTTTGCTGTATTACTCATTGCTTTGAATAACATTTCTAGAAAGACCGTTTTCATTACCTAGTAGACACAAAAACCCAAATAGCGTTAATACGATGCTTTGTTGTAGATCATGACCCACCAGAATTATTACGTTTCGAAATGGCTTATGATTTGACGCACTACATTCAGGTAACCTTTGCTAAAGTTTTCTTCAGGTCGTTGAGCAGTTGACTAGTGGTTCATATTTCCAATATCACTTAAATAGCCATATAATGTAATTGTACATAAACCATCAATCTGAATATGGAATTTTCTATTTTGTGTTCGCCACGACTGCCAAAAATGATGATCCATAAACATGAAGCACTTATAATAGTATTGATAAAGTCGTTGGTACACACGAAGAAAGAACTAAAGATCAGAATAAAACAGAGGTTGAAATTCCCTCATTTTTTAAGTTTTCACAAAATTCTTCAATTTACGACGAAACGCTACATAAAAATGGGATAAATATTTATGAGCAACCAATTAAATAGTATTTATCAGGATAGTTGCTGGTGACGATATCCACTGAAGATTAGGAAACATTGGACAACATCTTTTTACTAGTATGGTACTATTCATCAATGCTCATCCACGATCTCACCGGATATTGAAGTAATGACTTTCGTCCCTTGCCCTCAGAAATTCAAATTTAGGTCATTGAAGTGGTCGCAGTTTTAAATCTTGGTTAGATCGTGGTTGGGCACCATAACGAAACAGTTATACAATACTTTCTGGTTTTCATCGATCATTGAACAAAGGTCGGTTTGTGATCTCAGTAAATAGTATTTATTTACTTGCTTCATTTCCATCTTTCAATGAATTTCATTATTTCTTGTTATTTTAATAGTTCATCCATTTCCTAATTGCTCTCAACAATTACCCAGTTACGACGATGGAAATACTAATTTGGAATTAATTAATCATCCAAACGGAAGTTTGTTTCTGTTACCTGTTGAGACAGATTATAATTACGGTCAAAATTTATTCAATAAAATTCCCGGTAATTATTGGTCCACTAACACCAACATAATGAATGATAATAATGATATTGTCAATATGCAAACCAATGAGAACAGAATAAATCAAACCGTTTCATCATACAACACGAACAGTTTATATAATGAATATACAAATTATCATAATGGGGATAAAATGAATATAACAGGTTGTCAAGATATCTGTCAAACAATCTTGAATGGTCAATCTTCAATACCTTTTAGTATATCTGAGGCCTGTAGTGAGCTGACTAATCTATCGAAACATGTAGGTTTTCAGAGAATTTATTCCTAGTTTATTATTACAACGTACTATAATAGTACTGTTATGACCATGATCATTAAAGAATATGTCATATTCCAAACTAAATATCTCTTGGACTGTGACTTTTAATAATCAATTCAGTAATCACGGTCATAGTTTAGCCCCTGTTCAACCATTTGAAATACCTAGAATAGCAATGTACTTGGGTATGGTATTAATTAGCTAACGATCACAATTAATGTTCAAAATCATGCCACCGATTCTTTCAACCTATTCTTTAGTTATTATGAAGAGAAAGCCTAGTCTGAGAGTTAGACAAATATATCCGATGTAGAAAATACTTCTTAAATGAAATTTATATTTACGATGATACATATTTAGGTCTACACAGTTTGAAGCTGGTTTCCTTTAAGTAGAAAGAGAAATCCATTTTTATGTTACAGAATACATCAGATATGTATTATGGAATGCATTGACGAAAAACTCGCAATCCTTAGGAAAACTGATGAAAAATGGCTATCCAGAATAGTTCGTAGATTAGAATGTGAAAAGAAGTTGTTGTGACATGGAATACGGTTGTTCCGTTCCAGAGAAAAACCTTTGTATAAGTTTGGAATTTAAACATGATCGAACACCTGATGTAATCAAAAATCATTTAACGACAGCGATAAAACGAACATTCTATTCGGCCAAACTGCGAGTAACATTCACAAGTAGGAACTCGTTTTCTACATCCAAAAAAATAAACTTCACCGTCTGGTCGCATCTATGTTCATCTACCAGTTTACCTGCACTTGTGAAGCAAGCTACATTGACCGCAGCTAGTGCTCACTTTCATCTCGGGTACGGAAGTATATTTATGCGACTGTATACGATTGATACTAAATTTGTTGGGAAAAGATCTCTTTGCTGAACTTCATGTTTTTACCATCTTTATTTTTTTAAGAATTATTTCGTCAACGTTGCTCAATTTCGTGAATTGGTTGAGGTTAGACATTAACGCCGTTAGATGCCGGCTAAGTGGTCTGAGGGTTAAGTGCTCGCGCGTGAAACTGATATGTCCTGGGTTGGAATGTCGTGGAGCGGGATCGTGTATGCGCACTGATGAGGAGTCTCACAATAGAACGAAACGGCCGTCAATTGCTTCCAGGTTTTTCATGATGGTCTAGCTTCAATTGACGTATAAGTACTTGAGAATAAACTGTAATGACAAACTAGAAAAATTGGTTCTTGATTCATTACCATTAATACATTTATTTTGTTTAGTTATATATATTATAAATGACAAAGATATTTATTATTATACAATCAACACGACTGGATTTCATTAATACCATTCTCCAATACTTAATGTAAAAGGATTTAGCATTATCTTGTCAAATCCATTCCTTGTTAGAAAGAACTCAGTCTACATTAAGCTTTGTATGTTCATGAAACAGAAGTTTTACTTTTTTTAATGTCAGTTATTATAATCACTATTATGACACTTCATTTTTCTGAAAAAAACAATAATAAATGGAATCTAATAATACCGTTACTTACATAATTACGCCTGTTACCCCTCGTGGAGGAGCATAGGCCGCCCACCATAATAACACTGTATTCATTGATAAATGATTGATAACATTCAAATAAGATTATATCTGTCAAGAAATTGAAATAAATATGGGAAAATAAATATTTTGTTTTTTTGTTGTTGTGCCAAGTGAATAAACATTGTGAATTATGTCTATCATAATAACTAACGTCATAGAGACAGATAAATGAACTTAGATTATTTATGATGTATTACCTGTTTTTGAGTGACATTTTATCAGTAATCTTATTACAATTTAATTTGTTAGACTAATCAAGATAATAAATTGGATAGAATGATATTGAGTATTATTAAGTTGATTGGAACAGTTCAAAGGCAAAATGACTTTTATGGCTAATAATGATGGATTATCAGAAGGTTTTTTTTGGAGATTTAGCATTTGCATTGTTGTATGCGTGAGTCAATTGAAGCTGGACCACCATCGAAAACATGGAAACACTGGACGGCCATTTCGTCCTATTACGGGACTCCTCAGCAGTGAGCATCCACGATCTCACTTCGCGAGATTCGAACCCAGGACCTACCAGTCTCGATCCGAAGCCCTTAACCGATAGACCATTGAGCTGGCATCCAACGGTGTTAATGTCTAACTTCAACTGATCCACGAAATTGAGCAACCATTCACCAATTGTCTTCAGTTAGTTGATACCTCACGACAAACGTTATTTGAACTCCACTGGTCACTGCTTATCACTAGAACTCCTGGATGTACTTCTCGAAGTCAGTCACTAGTGAGCTTATGATTATATTAACTATCGGAAGGGATTTTGTGGAAATTTAGTATTTGCATAGTTGTAAAGATTGAATAAAATAAGTTGAATTTCCACTGCTTCAAATGGATGCTTTTGATAACTAGTAAGATGTTTAGATCCAGAATATCCTGTTGATTGCTTTCCATTGTCTAGAATCTTTATTTCAAACACAACAGAGAAATTAATACACATACCCTGTAGTTACGTGTACAAAAAGGACCAAAGTAGTAATCAAAATAAAAAAAATGAATGTGTATGTGTATGTACATTTACGTTATTATTTATTAAAATTTCATGGATATGTGATATGTTATTGATGTCTATGAAGTAAAGGTACATTGAATAGATTTCAAACGATATGACTCGGAGAATATTAAATTAAAGAATACGGTACGGGCGGTCTTCGAGAATCGGCCCGCTCAAGAAAGCTACCATAATGTTAGTGAACAAGGAATGAATTTAGTGATACCCATTAGAAGGGTTTTTTAACGAATTACTCTGGAGAACATACATTTGTAGAGAACACATTATAGTGTGACCGGTTGAATACTAGTGATCTATACGTTTATGAAGTAGGAAATATAGTATAAATACAGAGCACTTAAAATCCCTAACTTATTTTTTTTATCGAAAACATGTTCGTAACACTGATCACCTAATAATGGTACAATTTTTGATTGTTGAGTTCTTTAGTAAATTATTCTTTGTCAAATTTTCAAGTGGAAATATCTGTGCTATATAGATATCTAATGAGATATTATCTTCACATTAAATAATTCATCTGTTTAAGCTCTTGATTTAATTATTATTGAATCTTCAGCGATGCAATGTGGTGTAACAAAGAGATGTTCAGTGTTCCATACGGAGATGTATATCCATTCCTAATAATTAGGTTAGTTTGTAAATTGGATACAATGAAGTTTTCAACCTGAAGACCTATTAGAAATCTAGCTATAGTTGAAAAAAAATCAAATCCTGAACATATTTCAGCTCTTTTTTATATTTAAGTGTCCGGATAAAAACTCAATCCATTTCCGTTTTTTCGAAAAAGTTTCAAGTTCATTTTCTGAAAAGTTTAGCTTCTATAATCTTTGCTCAAAATTTAGAAGTATTTAGATAATCAATAAAATTTAACGCTTTGGCTCTCAGGTCTCATGGTAAGACCTAACCTATAAACCACTTAACCTGGATTCAAATATATACCCCTCAAATTTAGGCTAACCTGCGTTGTTAAGTACAAAGTTCCATAAACCCTCACACAGTAATAAAACCTATTTGATCATGGAAATCTCCCCATCACCGTGTATAGTTTTCTTACTATCATTTAGTTGATTGTTATGACATAACTATACAAAATACATTGATTATCTATTTTCATTATTTCCATTCAAACAATTTATAGTCACATATTTTAATGTCTTCAATGGATAATTGGCCAAAGCTATCAACAACTGATTTTACATCTAATATTATTATACCAACTGATTGTGATTCAGGTAATGGTGATAGTGTTGAAATTCAACCAAATTTATCAACTAAAGTTTATTTTCTTGGTAGAACATAAAAATTAGAAAAGGATCTATATGATAATATATGATTACATAATCAACTCATTACATTCAGTATTACTTATATTATGTAATATTACTGATGAATTACTATAATATGATTCACATGAATGAATGATTTAACAGATAATGCATTCATGAAGACTATCTTTGTTCTTTCTCTGTCAATATATTTCTATCATGAATTTATTCAAGATTTATGTCTTCACTACCTGATCTAAAAGTGAAAGAAGGACTTCATAATTGACACTAGTAATTTATAACTTTAACCAAATCAATCTAAGCTGTTTATTCATTTTCTAAGTTTAATCAACTGTTTTTTTTAATCATTTAATCAGTAGTATATGTATATTTCATTGTAAAATTAAAAGGATTATAATTTTTTTTAAAAATTATTCATTCCATTCCATTTTATTCTATTCAATGAAAAGAAAAGAGTATCCGTGGGTTAGTTTACTTGTCAGCTAACTATATTTACAAACAAACAAACAAACAAAACAGTAATAATTATCCCAATTTTCCTCTTTCTTGTAATTATGAAAGACTTTGTGTTTTTTTGGTTACTAATCAATATTTGACTGTACAAATTATTTGCTTTCAATAATTTTTATCTTTTAATGAATAGTGTTTTATAGTTGAAATCATAGGTTAATTGAAGCTAGACCACCATGGAAAACCTGGAAGCATTGAATGGTGGTTTTGTGGGACTCTTCAGAAATGTACATCCACGATCCCGCCTCTCGAGATTCAAACACAGAACCTATCGGTATAGTGCGCGAACGCAAGATGGGATCGTGGATGCACATTTCTGAAAGGTCCCACAAAACGGCCGTCCAATGCTTCTATGATTTCCATGGTGGTCTAGCTTCAATTGACTCATGATTTCAACTATATAAAATTACTAAAATCTCCACAAAACTCCCTTCTGAGAATAGTGTTTTCTCAGAATTAATTTTCATTTTGTATGACATCTGATGATAGAAACACGTTATCAGACGTTGATAAGTGAAAGAGATATCGTTTATTAGAGCTTCCATATAACGTATCATAAAACCATAACATTGTAAAATAATTCGCTTATTAACA